GAATAATAAAACCAAGCATACTCAATTATGTGGCACGAGGTAGAACATCATCGGTGTCTGAGCCAAAAACTTCAAAAAACTAAAAACTGCCTCCCTCATCGGGAACCCGGATAAGACAAATCAAACAACACAACAAAATAAAATAAAAACAATCAGCACCCCAAGCCGGCTGGTCACCGTGGGGGAAGAAGACCGTTACCCTCCAAAATATTTACCCCAGAAACAAACACAAGTGTTCCAGACAACAAATCGCCAACAAAACAACATATTACATATTGCTACCTTTAATACGCTTACCCTAAAAAGCACAGAAAGCTTGACAGAGTTGATTATGGCATTGGAAAGAATAAATTGGTCAATAATTGGATTAAGCGAAGTTCGACGCCTAGGCTAGAGCATAGAAGATCATGGAGACTTTATGTTCTAATACAAAGGAGATACACCTGGAAAATTCGAAACAGGATTCTTGGTCAAAAAAGAATTGAGCACACACATCGATGAATTTATTGGCATTTCTGAACGTATTGTCATACTTAACCTGAAACTACCCAAAAAGGAAATGTGGTCGATTATACAAATTTACTCACCAACTGAGCAATCCAGTAATGCAGAAATTGACACTTTCTATGCTATGTTAACAAGCGCAATCAAAGAACATACCTACAATAACCTAATAGTGATGGGTGATTTTAATGCAAGAACGGGATGTAGAGAAGACGGTGAAGCGATGATATTGGGTCCATACTGTTCAGGAAAAAGAACAAGAAATGGCGAAAAACTAATACAAATGGCATACGAGAAGAACTTAAAAATACTTAACAGTATTTACAAAAGGCGGGACAACAACAGATGGACATGGATATCCCCAGACGGGCGTTACAAAATTGAAGTAGACTACATCCTCACCAACAAAAGCAAGCTTTTTCAGGATTGCAGAGTTGTTAACAATCTCAACTTCAACAGCAATCACAGAATGGTTAGAGCTAAATTACTACACACCGATTCTACAAAGAAAAATAGACCATTTAGGGTAAAATCAACCAAAACTATAATACCTGAAGCCACTAACAAATTAGAAAAGGAACTAATAAACTTTATAGAAAATACAAAAGAACTAAATATCCAACACAAATATAACAAGTTTGAAGACCTAATGAAAACAAAGAAAACAACGGGAACAGCAAAGGAAAAGAAAACAGTAAAATGGCTAACAGACGAAACGAAAGAAATGTTAAAAACCAGAGTTGAACTAATATCTACGACTGCAAAGACAAGGATAACTAGAACTAAAATAAGGGAAATAAGCAAAAGTATAAAATTAAACATGAGAAAGGACCGGCAAAGATACAGACTTGAAATACTGGAAAGATGTATTCAGAAAACTGGGGGAACAAAAAGAGCAATCAAACAACTAAAAGAAAAAACAGACTGGATACCTAATCTCTATGACAAAAATATGAAACATAAAACAAGACGCCCAGAAATTATGTCCATAGCCACTAACTTTTTTAGGGAATTATACTCTAAGAAAAACTACAATAAGCCGAACATATTAGCAGGGGGAGAAGAAGTACCAGACATAATAAATGCTTAGGTGGAAAAAGCTATTATGTCTCAAAAGAAAGACAAAACTCCCGGGTCAGATGGTATCAATAACGAATTTCTCATAGCAAACATAGAATACCTTTTTTTTTTTTTTTTTTTAACGTGTGGAAATCCCCTCGGACCGTCACCCCTCCGGGGTTTGCGGCGGGGTGGTGTGTCGGACTCGGACCGACTAAAACCACACGGTGTGCCACTCTGCGCCTGTAACAGGAGGGATCCGGGAACAGCTGTTGTTAAGACATCCGGACCCCTCCTAGCGCCAGCCCGCTCCTGGTGCGGGCTCCGTCTCGATATTGTTCCTCTCTTTTTAGGCGACGTCCGGCACACGCGGACGCCGCCCCCTCGCGGCTGGCCACACTAATGCGGGTGGAGGGGAAACCCACCCCGTCCACCCGCGGCCACACTCAGGGCGGCATGAGGCTGTGGTAGGCGGGCCTCCGCCGCCCGGTTCGCCGGCGGCGGATCGGGTCCGAGTGGAGGTCGTCCTCCCGGGCCCTCTCCGCCGCCTCCTTCCGCGAGATTACTACCTCGCAGAAGGTTGCGACCGCGGTAAAACAACTGTCGCTACCGGTCATGGAGCGTACTACGGCCGGTAGCGAGAGATCCACTCCGATGACTGCAGTGAGGGCCCGGCGCTGCGCCGCCCATGCGGGGCAGACCGCCAGCGTGTGCTGGGCCGAGTCCTCACTGCAGTCGCAGTGGTGGCAGGCGGGACTCAGTTCCCTCCTAGCGACCGTGTGCAGGTACTTTCCGAAGCAACCGTGCCCGGAAAGCACCTGCGTCAGTCGGAAGGAAAGGGTCCCGTGCTGCCGCCCTGCCCACTCGGCGATGACCGGCTGGAGAGCCTCCACGGCGGCGAAGCCAGCGCGTGGAGTCTCCAGCCGGAACGACCAACGAGCCATCGTGGCTCGGCGAGCGGCTTCGCGCCACTCGCGCACATCCTCGGGCGGAGGGCGAAATCCGCCTTCCGCCCGGAAGTCAGCCACTCGCCGATAAACTTCGGCGAGCACTTCCGCCTCCAAATCCCACGGGGGAGTTCCGGCCAATGCGCATGCCACCTCCGTCTAAACGGTGCGGTAACCGCGTATGGCGTGACATTTTCAACGAAGTTTTGCACAGTGAGACTATACCCGAGCAATGGTCAACATCAACCATAACATTACTACATAAAAAAGGAGACATGAACAGCATAAACAACTACAGCCCTATTAGTCTAATGTCGAATATCTAAAAGGTATTCGCTAAGATAATTCTCAATAGAGTAACCAGAACATTAGATGACAACCAAACGAGAGAGCAGGCCGGATTCAGGAGTGGGTACTCGACATTGGACCACATCCACGTAGTAAAACAATTATTTGAAAAGGGCAGAGAATTCAACTTAACATTCTACTGCTGCTTTGTAGATTACAGCAAAGCCTTTGACTCATTAGAAGACGAAGCGATTTGGCAAGCACTCAAAAACCAAGGTGTGGAATGTAAATACATTAGAATTCTGAAAAACATTTATGAAAACAGCAAAGCCAAAATCAAACTAGAAAAGCAAGGTAAGGAAATAAGAATAGAAAGAGGTGTGCGTCAGGGCGACCCAGTATCACCTAAACTGTTCACTGTTGTCCTGGAAGAGGTGTTCCGGCAATTAGATTGGGAGAAATGTGGACTGAATATTAATGGCGAATACCTGTCGCATTTGCGATTTGCAGATGATTTGATCATCATCTCTCAATCAAGCGCAGGGTTACGGGCTATGCTGAATGATCTGGAAAGAGAAAGTCGTAAAGTGGGATTAATCATGAATATAGAAAAAACCAAGGCCATGACAAACTGGAACCAAGAACCAATCCACGTGAACAACAACACAATTGATTATGTATATGAATACATCTATCTCGGTCAAACAATTTCGCCAATGGACCCTACCTCTAAGGAAATCAACAGACGTATAGGTAATGCGTGGAAACAATACTGGAGTTTAAAAGAAGTTATGAAAAACCCTGAAATGAGCATGACTATGAAACGTAAACTTTTCGATACTTGCGTACTGCCTGTCCTTACATATGGCTGCCAAACCTGGGCGCTGAACAAAACTCATATCCATAAACTTGAAACATGCCAAAACTCAATGGAAAGAAGCATGATGGGGAAGAGACTTTCTGATAGAGTAAGAACCACCGTCATAAAGAATTGTACAAGAACAAAAGATGTCACAGTAACTATCAGAAAGCTGAAATGGAGATGGACAGGACACACAATCAGAGGAAAAGAGAAATGGTCTAAATTAATAATGAACTGGTTCACAAGGCATATTAAGCGAAAACAAGGAAGGCCACCAAGAAGATGGGTGGATGAAATAAAGGTATAGGTGGTGGATGGACAACAGTTGCTAGAGATAGAGGAATATGGAAACAGTTGGAGGAGGCCTTTGCCCATAAAGGCACACAGACAGGTGTGAAATAGAATAATGTTTTTTAATAAATCTATTTGTAAACGTTTTGTATAAGATGTCTGAATAAAGGCTATTATTATTATTATTATAATAACAAAACCAAGGCACTCTAAGGCTCTTATAGTTGTTTGACAATTTTTCAAACACTCACTATAAGTTGATCCAATACATATTATATTATTATCATCTAGATGAATTACTGATTTATATCCCTTACTACGGAGAAAAGTCATTACTGGCTTCAATATTTTAGTTAAAGTAAGAGGTGCAGTGCATAAACCAAATGGCATACAGTTAAATTCATACAATATACCTTGAAAGTTAAACCTTAGATATTTTTTATCATTTTTAATTGGTATTAAAAAATATGCATCTTTCAAATCTATTGTACACATATAACTATTATATTTAATTAGTCTACACAAAGTTTTCATATCTTCCATTTTAAAATGGTCAGGTACTATAAAGTTATTTAAACATTTCAAGTTCAGAATTAACCTTATTTTACCATTTGGTTTTGGTACTGTAAAGATTTTTGACAAAAATTGACCCTGTTCGTATTGACATTTTGACAAAACACCAAGTTTTGTTAATCTATTAATTTCATCTAATATTATATAACATTCAGCACTAGAAACAGCATTATTTTTAGGTATATTGTGTTGAACAGGCTGTTTTATAAAAGGAAAACTATAATCATTTATCCAAGATAGTACAGCTGAATCCTGGGTAATCTTTTTCCAACAAGGAAGGAAGTGTTTTAATCGTCCAGCAAAGTAATTTACCTTTAAGTTTGCCGCACCGATTTCTGGACAGCATATGGCTTGTTGGCTTGTTGCCGTTGTTGAGGCCTCACCAAGGTCCTCTGTTGGTACTTGCCCCCCCCCCCCCCCGCCCTCCTTCTCTGTACTGATTTTGGCGAGGAGGGCCCCGGAAGTTTCCCTGCTTTTTAATGTTGGACTGTGAGCGGTTGGTTTGGGAGCTCTTGGACACATTGGTATTTATTGGCTTCAGTATTGAAGTGGCAGACTTTCTTATGGCCGATTCTATTTGCCGATTTGACTGTTTCATTAAACTTTTCACCGAAAAGGAAACTGTCTCTAGCCGTGCTTTCAATCGCTTTAGATATATTTTTATCTAGATTTGGGGATATTAATTTTCTGCGTGTGATAGAATCTTCAAAATGTAAGTCACTCAGTAACCTCACTGAGTCACTGAGTATCATATTTATTTTGTTAAAATTGTCCTTTAAAATTGTGTTCATCAAGTTTAATACACCTGATATGGCTATCCCCAGCCGTTGCTGACGATCTTCTACTCTTTTGTCCCTTCCTTTAACTGTATCAGAGAGCAGGCCCTGGAGTTCTATATTCAGCTTTGGTGCATCTAGTAATTTTATATTGTTGGGTATTAGAATTTTTCTTAATAATTCTTCTTTAACATCGTTTTTGATGCTAGCCTTTAATATATTTTCAATTCTTTTTAAAATTTCCGGGTGTATATTTTCTCCATATTCTCTATCCGCACTTGTGGTTTGTCCCAATGCTGACAATATATTCTCGTCTAACTCTATTGTGTCATCCTCACCTACGAATTAGATAGGCTCATTTGTTAAGTTTTTAGTAATATGTGAGACTACCAGTTTCACGTAAGATATATGTGTAAGATACATATCATGTTTTAAAAGTCATCAACCTTACAGTGCTAAAAGAGCCTCTCTTTATAAGCACATAATTCACTCCACCGGAGTGTTAAAGCAACATGTAACACATGTTACAAAACTAAACACCATGAGTAGGTACTACCATTTTTAGGTTATGTATGCAAATGTTATGATGAGGTTAAATGTTTTAGGAAGTATTATTGAAAAAACATACCTGATTCTTTTGGTAGATCATTATTTTCTACCTATACTGTAACATACGGTACAAATTGCGCACCGTGGTTAGCTTTACGGACACTAAAACAGCTAGCAATAGAGGACGAATACAAATATCCCGCAGCAGCCAAAATATTAAGAAACGAATTTTTTGCTGACGATTTGACTAGTGGACACAATATCTTGGAACTCGCAAAACAATTACAAACTGAACTTATCGCGCTGCTTAAAGGAGGAGGTATGAACCTACGTAAATGGTCGAGTAATACTCAGGAGTTATTACAACACTTAAATCAAGATCAAATCACTCAATCCAGGTATGACTTTAAGCATGAAGATACGAAGAAAACCCTTGGGCTCGGATGGAACCCTAACTCGGACATGTTCACGTTCACGTGGAGTTTTGAAAACTCAGATAAAACTATCACTAAACGATTTCTATTATCCCAGATATCACAACTCTACGATCCACTAGGGTGGTTTTCGCCCGTAACTATAACTACTAAGCTTATGTTCCAACAAATATGGAAAGAAAAAATAAGTTGGGATGAACCGTTACCTGAAGAGATACAAAGTAGCTGGTTAAAATTAAAAGCTGAACTCTCACTTTTGAAAACAATTACAATAAATAGGTGGATTGGAAGTACCGAAATGAACGTGGAACTACTTGGATTTTGCGACGCAAGCGAGAAAGCTTACGCATGCGTCATATATTTACGCGCAAAAAATGAGGAGGGACAGTATACCATAACCTTATTAACCGCAAAAACTAGAGTCGCACCTCTAGCGCAAAAAATAACTTTACCCAGATTGGAGTTACGTGGGGCACTCCTACTTGCTCAGCTGATTTCAAAGGTCCAAGAAAGCTTGAAGGAGCACAACATTACTGTATGGGCGTGGTGTGACTCCAAAGTAGTCCTGGCTTGGATTCAAGGAGAGACTACTAAATGGGAGAGATATGTCGCAAATAGAGTTGCGAAAATTAAACAAATAATACCGGCGTCACAATGGACTTATATTGATACGAAATCTAATCCCGCGGACTGCGCAACGCGAGGACTATATCCAAGCAAACTTTTAAACTTTGAACTGTGGTGGAAAGGTCCGGCTATTTTGACTACCTTTAGAGGGAAACAAAATCTCAACACAAACTGTCTATTTACTACAAACATTGATAAAAAACAAGACATTTTTATCAGAAACCAAGGTGAAAATGACAATTTAATTTATAACTTACTAAACAAATATAGCTCTCTGACCCGCGCGAAAAGGGTATTGGCCTGGATTATGCGCTTTATTATTATGACGCGAAGAAAGGCAATGACCGACATAGAATTTGATGCAAACAATAGCCGATCACATTACTTGACAATAAACGAACTTGATACTGCAACCATATGTTTATAAAATATGCGCAGAATTGTGACTTTGAAGTGGAACTAAACTTACTGTCTAAAAATAGACCTATACCAATTAAGAGTGTTGTGTACAAATTAAACCCCTACCTGGATAAGGATGGCATCATGCGTGTCGGTGGACGTCTCAATAAGACCTGTTTAGCTTTGGACACGAGGAATCCGGTTATCCTGTCTCGAAATGGGAGATATACAACCCTCTTAATCGAACAGGCTCACATAGCAACTTTACACGGCGGTGCCCGTCTCACGCTAACCTATATCCGCCAACGTTATTGGATAGTGGATGGCAACAGAGCAGTAAAGACTCAGTTACGTCATTGCGTGCGATGTCATCGATTCAAAACACAAGAAAACTTTCAAATCATGGCCGATCTACCAAAATACCGCGTAACTCCCTGTCGTCCCTTCACTCATACCGGAATGGATTTTACGGGGCACATTGATGTGAAACTGAATAAGGGTAGAGGAGTAAAGACGTCAAAGGGATACATAGCAATATTTGTGTGCATGACCACTAAAGCCGTTCACATAGAACTAGTATCTAAGTTCGGAAATGTTTATTGCGGCTTTTCAAAGGCTGTGCGCGAGACGTGGCACACCGACACATGTATATACAGACTGCTAGCTGCTAGGAGCTGCAAAAATATTACAAAATGAGTTCGAGCGATTTAAAATAGAATGGCCAACTGAGGTTTACCAGGAACTGAACAACCTGGGAGTGGAGTGGCACTTTAATGCTCCGGCCTGGCCGACCGCGGGGGGCCTATGGGAATCGGCAGTGCGCTCCATGAAATATCATCTTCGTCGTGTGATGGGAGAACAAAAATTGACGTATGAAGAACTATCCACCCTTCTAGCTAAAATTGAGGCTTGCATGAACTCGCGACCACTTTGTTCCTTAACTGAGGATCCTGATGAATTCTACAACTGTTTAACTCCAGGTCACTTCTTAACAGGTACTCCCACAATGTTGTTACCTATCTCCAGCCATGAAGACGACAAAAAACTTAATTTAAGACAACGTTGGCGACTTACGGAACATATGTTGCAACAATTCTGGCGAACGTGGTCATGTGAATATCTTACACAGTTACAGACTCGTAGCAAATGGCAGAGGTCAACACCTAATTTACAAAAGGATGACGTCGTTTTGATAAAGGACAACAACTTACCTATCCGGGAGATTGATACAAATGAAGAATGGTCTACTCCAACACCTACTCGTAACATGCTAAAGAAAACTTTCTTAATTATGACTGAAACTTTACTTCTTTATTTTCTTTATCATCCATGACTGGAAGTAAAGCGACTGCCGTCTTAATATTAAAAGACTCCATTTTATCAATCACCATAGATGGGTTACACAAAATTTTAATCTCTTCAAATACCTTCTTAATTTGTTCCGTGAATTTATTTATTAAACTAAGTTCAGTTTGACTCAATTTCTTTATGTTACTTCGTATATCTAATAACACTATACTTATACGTCATTCACTTTTTCACTTTTCTCACTTATATTTTTAAAAATAAGCAAAAATAAGTGTTAGTAATAATGCCTAAGCGTCATAATGGCCGCGACGAAGAAGAGATAAAAAGAAAAATACGAAAGTGGGAGAAAAAACTTGAAAGACGTCGTCGTTCAAAATCACCACAAAGTCTGGGCTACTCTAGCAGCAGCAAGCAGGGAAATCTAACTTAAATGTTCATAATATATCGTATCAATATAAAAGAGGTCGACAATATTTTCAAATATCGCTGTTATATAACGCCAACAAGAACATATAGAGTTAAATTCAATATATGTAATTGCAAAGTAGTCTATCCTGAGCCAACAGTTGCTATAAATTCAGATTTTAATATATATCTGCCAGTTTCAGGATACAAAAGTGTTGAAACTGAGGAATTTATCTGTGAAGGAATTGTAGGTGCAACAAGTGACTTGTTAGTAGATGAGATTGAAGCACTTAAAATATTGAACGAAAGCTCAACATCTGGTGGGCAGTATCTAGGGAACTCAGATATTTCATGTGCTATTGTATGCATGATCACATCAACTAAGAAAGTTACTGACCAAAATATAAGGGACCTAATGATAAGTAAAGTTGTTAAACAGTATATTCACAAGGGAAAGCAATATGACCCAGATAGATTTAAAATATTTGCTAAATATGCTTTAGGTGGTGTCCCATCTGGCCTAGATTCCAATACTTTAATTACTGCATATAAAAACATTCAGACATTCCATGTCTCAGCAAGGCTCCAGGCCATGGCTAAAATATGTAAATATATAAAAGTGTCTGTGTAACGGTGCGATTCGGCAAATATATAGTGTACTACGTAACAGTAACGGTATAGTAATCAGTATAATGGACTTATTTAGAGGACTTTAGGTTTTAGTGGTGTATAACATACTATATAATATATATCGCATTTGTCAATATGTATTGATGGCAGAAAAATTAGAAAAGTATTATAGTAGCTTGTTTGAAATACGTACATATCTTGTAAAGATAGGACCACAGCGCCGTCGAGGCCCTATTTGTTCGAAAAAATATAAGGAAGCTAATATCATTTTACAAAGTTTTGAAAGACAGTTATTAGATATACGAAGTAACATAAAGAAATTGAGTCAAACTGAACTTAGTTTAATAAATAAATTCACGGAACAAATTAAGAAGGTATTTGAAGAGATTAAAATTTTGTGTAACCCATCTATGGTGATTGATAAAATGGAGTCTTTTAATATTAAGACGGCAGTCGCTGTACTTCCAGTCATGGATGATAAAGAAAATAAAGAAGTAAAGTTTCAGTCATAATTAAGAAAGTTTTCTTTAGCATGTTACGAGTAGGTGTTGGAGTAGACCATTCTTCATTTGTATCAGTCTCCCGGATAGGTAAGTTGTTGTCCTTTATCAAAACGACGTCATCCTTTTGTAAATTAGGTGTTGACCTCTGCCATTTGCTACGAGTCTGTAACTGTGTAAGATATTCACATGACCACGTTCGCCAGAATTGTTGCAACATATGTTCCGTAAGTCGCCAACGTTGTCTTAAATTAAGTTTTTTGTCGTCTTCATGTCTGGAGATAGGTAACAACATTGTGGGGGTACCTGTTAAGAAGTGACCTGGAGTTAAACAGTTGTAGAATTCATCAGGATCCTCAGTTAAGGAACAAAGTGGTCGCGAGTTCATGCAAGCCTCAATTTTAGCTAGAAGGGTGGATAGTTCTTCATACGTCAATTTTTGTTCTCCCATCACACGACAAAGATGATATTTCATGGAGCGCACTGCCGATTCCCATAGGCCCCCCGCGGTCGGCCAGGCCGGAGCATTAAAGTGCCACTCCACTCCCAGGTTGTTCAGTTCCTGGTAAACCTCAGTTGGCCATTCGAATGTGATACTTAATTTAGCTACCATTAGATAAGATATTTTATTCTGATAAGTCTGAAAGACTGAAGTATTCAGTGAATAAGTATTAAACTAGTGATTACTAATAATACAGACAATGTGCGCTCGTATGTAAAGAAATACTTTATTTTTTAGATTTTGATTATTATGAAAAAAAAAATAATTTGATAATAAGCATTAAATATAATTTGTTGTTTTTTTTTTAACTACTGTGATTAAATAATTACCTTACGTGAGAGTTAGAAGATATTTGTTTTTTTTTTGGAGGAAAAGCCATTGAATTTTATTTTAATTTAGAATAAATCGTTGTATTTGATTATTTAATACATTTGTTTTATTTAACCGCAAATTTAGTTTAATCTTTTACTAGAGCACTACATCTATAACTGGCACATGTAAATTGCACTACTTTGTAAATTGGTGCAAGTGACAAAATTTGTTAAAAAATATCTTAAATAACCCGTAGAATTCACAAAAATAAAACATGTTATATAACTGTAATATTTTTCTATTTTCCTTAATTTTCGAAAAACCTAAAACACTGTAAACTAGTACAAGTGGTCACTTACACTGGTTTTCGTGTTAAAACACTTTAAGGAAAACCATGTAGGTAAATGCAAGTGAAGCTAATTTCTAAACTACAAAAAAATATAAAAAAAATGGTATGCAGTCTTTTTTTAAACATGTTCATATATCAGGAGGTAATTTTCAAAAGTGGTCAACTCCAAATTCTACAGTTTCGTACTAACTATGCCAGATGTCTCTACTGGATACTCTTATCAAAATTCTTCCAGTCAAATTTGGGCAAATACAATAAAAACAAGTTAAAATAATGATTTTAAACAGACCTTATTTTCAAAACAAGCCTATTCCAGATAATCTAGCATTCAAATTTGGTCTAATCCAATTGAACCAATCACAGCGCGTCTAGCCGAGTCCGCCATATAGTGTGTGTTTGACGACCGAATGGCGTAGTGGTTTGTGTAACGGACTGCTATTCGAAAGGTCGCGGGTTCGATTCCCGCTCAAGTCAAACATTTGTGTGCGTGAACATTTAATGTTTGATTTGGTCTGGGTGTTTCTATGTATAATAAGTATGTATTTACAAAAAAAAAGTATATATGTATTTATATCAGTTGTCTAGTACCCATAGTACAAGCTCTGCTTAGTTTGGGACTAGATGGCGATGTGTGAATGTGGTAGAATATTATTATTATTATTATTGTAATCGTCATAGTAAACACGACTTGAGTGAAATGCCGGTGGGTCAATGTGCTTTGATGAAAATAAAGTGATTTTTAATGGAAAAAGTTGTTAATTTTAAGTAGAATATGGAAAAAAATGCAGAGGAAGTACCTAGTCATCAAGCGAAAAAGAGAAAATCTATGGAGGGGGCAAATGATCGCCGAGAAAAGAAAAAGAAAAGGTCAGTATGTTCAAACACTTTGTTACCGAAAATAGGCCCTAGGGTTGTGCAAAATATTGTTGCCGTTATTACGCGTGTTATTGTTGTTAGTATTAATATTGAGGGTTAACTAGTAAATAGGGCACATTTTACAATTCTAATATTATAAATGCGAAGGTTTGTGTATTAGTATGAATATACCTACGACCTATGTATGTGCCTACCTCTATTTTGTGTGTTTGTTCTCTTTCACGTGAAAACTACTGAACCGATTGCAATCGGTAGTCTTTTCACTACGAGCGAGACTTACACGGATAAAACTATGGAGTAATATAAATGCAAAAGTTACACAGTGCTATTTTTTTTCAGGTATTCATCAAACAGTTTACCTCAAAGATATCCTTGCAGACATAATGGTATGTCTTATAAGTGTGTTAATATAAGTATGCAAGATGTGAAAATCTTCAATGAACAGTTTTATAAGAATCCAGATAAACAGTATCAAGACGATTTAATCATAAAATATTGCAAAGCTACGAAGCCTTCACGAAAAAGACTAGTAAATGGAAGAGGAAACTCTAAATCAATGAGCATTGTGTACAATATACGAAAAGTTGATGGAGAGATAGTACCTGTGTGCCGCATTTTTTTTTTGAGGTCTTTGGTTCTTAATAAAGGAAGAGTAAGAGGTGTTTTAAAGGGACATATGGATACTGGCTTCATGGCTATAGAAAAACGTGGTGGCGATAGAAAATCATTCAAGAATATTGGTTTAAGAGATGCAATAGTGTCATTTATAAAAAAATTCAAAGGCGTCGAATCTCATTATTGCCGATCCAAAAGCCGTCGTATCTATTTACCTTCAGAATTATCTATTGCAACAATGGCCAAAATGTTTGTGGAAGAGCATGCAGAATGTTCTCATTGCAAAGAATCCCATTTTAGGAGAATATTTAACACAAAATTTAATATAGGTTTCTGTCATCCAAGGAGTGATATGTGTTCCACATGCCTTGAATTCAAAGACAAAATTAAAATTGAAAAAGAAGATGCAATAAAAGCTCGTCTTAAAATAGAACTTAGTGTGCATATAGCACGGAGCAACGCATTCTTTACCTTTTTACAAGACACTGATCCTAAAATCAAAATCTTATCGTTCGACTGCGGCAAAAATCAACTAATGCCAAAGGTACCGGATCAGACCACATATTACACTCGGCAATTGTATATTTACAACTTTACGGTAGTTGTGGGGCGTTCTCACTCAGAATTGACACAAAATAATGTCTTTTCTTATGTATGGACGGAAGATGTTCACGCAAAGGGATCTAATGAGATATCAAGTGCCCTGTATCATTGTTTACAAAATAACATAAATTTCACTGATGTAGAAGTTCTCCGGCTTATGGCAGACGGATGTTCAGGACAAAATAAAAATTCGACAATAATTGGAATGATTAGCAAATGGTTTAGCAGCAATGCTCCTCAGACACTAAAAAAAGTTGAGCTCATTTTTCCTGTCACAGGGCATTCTTTTATACCCCCTGATCGGGTATTTGGTGTTGCCGAAAAAGCAATAAAAAAGACAAATACACTAGTACAACCAGAGGAGTATATCAACATATTCAAAAGGCAGGCTACTGTTTTTCTTCTGAATGATATTAAAGTGTGTGACTGGAAAAATGCAACCCATGAAGTCCAGAAAGGAACGCAGGCATTGCATTTCAAAATAATGAGTTGCAAAAGATTCATTTTTACTAGAATGAAAGGAGACAGGCGAGGAGTAATCCTGAGAGGAGAAATCTATTATCACAACGATACCTGTGCCCGCCGTTCCATCACGAAGCCAGGCAAATTTGCTTCTGACATATGTCCAGTGCCTATAACGCCTATAAGTTCTGTCAAGATAAAAAAACCTAAATTGAGTGACGTCGAGAAGTTGCTAACCAAACATTATGGAAGAGAGTGGGCAGAACGCGAAGAGCTAAGCTATTATAAAGCGGTCATAGAACGGTACAGAAATAAAACAGTTGATGAAGAAGAAATAGAAGACGAAGTTATTGAAGATGGTCACATTTTATGTGAAGAATATGTTGAGGATGCATCATTTAATAATTTAATATAAGTTTAAGATCTCTATAGATTCAAATCCACACCAAAGTTTCTTTAACATTTTTTTGTATAAGTACTCACTAAAGTTTAATAAATACATTTAAAAAAAATCTAAATCTTTTTATCATAGTTTAATCACACATACCATAATATATTCAAAAGTATTAAAGGCATTTTTCTCAAAAGTTTGTAATGAACGACAACCCTATTCGAATGTTCAATAACGGTTTGTCAAAATCGGTCAAATCCTGACAGCTACCTATCAAAAATAGCCAAATCCAGTTCAATTTTAGATCTTTATTAATTTGTTGAAATATTGATAACGGCATGACACTTATCTCCGCACCGGTGTCCAATTTACACTTTACACGTTTACTTTCAATATTTATATTTCATACCAATCGTTGGAGCAGGTATCCTTGAATTTGGTCATCCCGCAAAACAACTCCTCACTACTGCTGGTGTTATCGGGCTTCTCATCAAATTTTACTTCTTTAACTTTCTTGACATGTTGGGGTATCTTTCTGCAACTGACTGCAAAATGATTGAGTATCCCACATTTTGAACAACGCTTCCCGAATGCTGGACATTGTCTCGGACCATGTTGTTTCTGGCATCTCATGCATGAAAATGTGTTGTTAATCGTCTTTTTCAACACGTCCACTTCTACTGCGGTGCTGGTATTCATTTCCTGTACTTGTTTTTTACTCTGTTCAGATGTCCTGCAGTAATGAATGGCTTTCTCTAATGTTAAATTTTCAATTCGTAAAAGATTTTCTTGAATAGCTTTGTCATACACTCCATGCGCGATTTTATCACGAAGCATCTGATTTTCTAAGGGCTTCGAATCTGATGTTACATTGTACTCACATGTTTTAATAAGCTCTCTGCAATTTGTGAGAAACATTTCAAATGGCTCACTATATCGTTGCTTTCTCTCGTTGAATTTAAACCGTTCAAAGCTATTATTAATATGCAGTGATACGAATAATTTTATCGCGTCGATTACATTTGTATACTTTTCTGCATTTTCATCTTTTATGGGCAATGTCTGTAAAATACGAGCTGCCTCTGGCCCCATCATATTTCGTAAAAGAGAAAGCTTGACTTTGTCTTCAGCCGCATTTTTCCCACCGCCACCAAATAGTCTTCGAAAAGCTGTAGCCAAAATTTAAACTTACTGGCTGCGCTTTCACTTTGCAAATTCAGATTAGGAGGCAATTTCACTGACGCCATTTTCTGAGCTTGTTTAGTCTTGATGGCAATAACTATCAAATCCAATCTAATCCAACACTTAACTGTGGATTTGCAAATACTAATAATAATTCTTGGTAATATTCAGCCCAAAAAATATGCTAGACTGCGCCATGCTCTATTTTATAATGAAAATATATGTATATACTTTTTAGGTAATTTGTTTTATTATATTTTACTTCTGGTTAGGTCTTATCAATGACTGCTATGACGGGATGTGTACGTATAGTTAGTTAGTAGTTAGATAATGTGTGCGGTTAAGTGCCATAGACTAGTAAAGCTTGGTTTACACAACATATCAGGTATATCAATTATACATATTTCTTTTGCTTTTATTTTATATTTTCTAGCTTATTTGACCTAAAGTAGGGATAAAAATATCTTATTTAATATAAATTATCCAAGTTATTTTATATTTGTTAGCGAAATTTCATTTAAATCAATTCAGGACATTTACGTTCAGTTTTAATATGTTTTAATTTATCCAGGCATTCAAATTGTACATCTTTAATACATATATATGTATATATAAAATAATTATAATTATTATCTCAATTTATTCATATTATATTTTTTTTAAGTTGTATTATGAAAATACTGTGTGTACGATACGAAGTTCATAAACACAGACCGAAAATGACAACAATGAACAAATTGCGTTAATCATACATAACTCAATTTATAAAGTGTGTTTGGCAAAAATAATACTACACAGATATTATTTAGACTTTTGGGAATAAAGAAAATAGATATTTTAATAAAAAATAACAGTATTTCCGTAAGATACATAAAGATTTACTCACAGCAGGTACGACGTGCCGCCATTGTCACCTGTTCTTTACCGTCGCCGAATGCAAATATGGCGGCCTGCTGTCACTTGACTCGCCGCGAGTGACCAAGACGGAAATATAAAACCTAATAGTGTTATTTCTTTCTAAAATATTGAGTGTATTTACGAAACACAATAATGTTCTTTTTATAGAACGTTCGGTCATAGTACCACAAAGCAACTACTAATAGAGTCAGAACTTACACATAAAGTTTGGAAAAAATTTCAGCGCCTCCAGTGTGAGGGCGGGAACTACTTTATAATGGCGGGTAATTTGAACCCAGCACGATTGCCGAGGTATACTCTATTCCAATTACGATAATTAATTGTATAATGATTTAGATTGATTCTGTATTTTTTAAATGATGATTTAAAACCATTTAGGCTATATATATATATTTAAGACCAATTTATTCACACACACAATCAACATTTGTTTTTAGACATTGTGGGACTTCGTAATTGGAATAGAGTATAGTTACGGGATTTACTGGATTTTGTTAAGGGTAAGGTCAAATCATACGAAAAAAGCCATGTTTTCGTGATTTTTTTTCTGACGACGCAGTTAAAATTTCTTTACTCAACCAATGGTACATTAAAGTATGACATTCGAAGAATGTTTCATCAAATTTATACAAAGAAGTATTAAAAAATACGGCAATGGCAGCAATTGTTCGGACGTGTCTCGAAAAAAAGTTGAATTGCGGTGCCCCTCATAACTTGGTGCTGGATCATCTGAAATCAAAAAATCAAAGTTCATTCGTTAGATAATAGTTTTCCCCAGGTAACGCTGTCGAGGTTTTTTTTCCAATTTTTTTCATTTTTTCAAACACTGAAGTGAAAAACACAATTTTTTGGAAAAAAAACGGCTAATTTGTTATTGCGAAATCAAAATTATGAACAAAAAAAAAACTCGACAGCGTTACCTCGTAAATGATGTACAGAAATAGTGTTTAAAATTTCAAAAGGATCGGTGCAGTGGTTTTGAAGTTATCAGGGGCACCGACTTTGAAAACGTGTTTTGTGGGAAAAACGTTTTAAAGTTTTAAACACAAAAAAATCCAGTTAAAACGTTTATAAGCGAATTTTATCGACTTACTCACACTGAGTCATCAATGCCAGGTCCATTGAGGATGTTGCTATCATCGATGATGTCTAATGTATCTTTTTGCTCCTGCCTACGACGAATCCTGCCTTCTTTGGTTTGTCGTTCAGCTTCCTGCTCTGCTCGGCTTATGCGTGTGGAGTCAGTGGATCGCGCCCAGTCATGAGCGCTTGGTCCACTACTGATTTTCATGTCTTGCATGAAGGTGAGTAAAGCAAACGAACCTTCATTGAAGACACTGGCTGCCACATAAGCTGCAATTTCAACGACTACAGAGGTTCCACTCAAGTGCTTCGGTGAGATTTTCCAAATTAGTTGGTTCAAACTCTCATGGTTGTTCTGCGTGAAGCCTCCGACACATCGCTCCAGGAGGGCTCGTTGCTCAGATCTTCGTAGATAGGCTTGATCGCATCCAAAACATCCTTGGGAAGAGCACAATACGTGTTTGAACGAATCCAATGCATTAGCAGCTGCAGCTCTTTGCCATTCGCATCAGGAGTCCGCGCCGCTCGGGCATTTTTCGTGCTGTGGATTCTCGTCCGTCGAACTGTAGTGAAAGAACGTTGCCCAGATAGCGTTCTTCATATTTTTTACGGAATCAGAGTGACGTCTGATAGCCAACCTGTAGTATACCGTCAATTTATCGATAATTTTGGCCGTACGCTTTCCTTTACCAGACAGACTCTTTCTTTTGATTTTCTTTCCAGCCTTAGTTTCGGTATCTACAACGGTCTTTTTGACTATTTCACGTAGACGAGTGCCCATTCTTTTTTGAACATGTCCTACACATTCTTTTTTTGCTATTAAAAAATCATCACCATTAGAATTCACTAACCCGGAGTAAGCTTTGGAGTCACCATCGCCGATATAGTTACGATATCGTACACCATCCTTTACCGAGCGTTGAAACATTGTTTTTATCGCTTCGACCTCCATATTTCCAGCTCCACCAGTATGATTTGCCCGACAGTTTCCAGTATCTAAATGAGCTTCATGCCACTCTTCGTATTCGGCAGGGTTTTGTTTCCCAATTTGTGTTCCCAAGTTTTACATTCGTGGCAGTATGAACTTTTGACGAGAATGTCAAGAACTTTACCTGTAAAGTGACCGATTAGCGAGGTGACGCCGAATAAAGATGAGTAGCCTCTTTTTTTCCATGTTCCGTCGCCTGATACACTGAGTTCGTCGGCATCTTCAGTTTTTTTTTCTTCGGCTGTTGCTGCTCTTTCTTCTTTTGTAGCAGATGAAAAAAATCGATTCGCTACTTCTCTTATAGTCGAGCACATTTTGTTCACGTAATTATTGTACGTCGGTCTTGATAAAAATGAACTGGACAAATCCATCAAGCCGTAGAACTTTTCACAGCCAACTAATCCAAGGCCTAATATCCTCATCACGAAGACAAACCTATAATTCACTTCGTAAATACCAGAGTTTATTCGTGCACTAGACGGAACGTTTGTAATTTGTTTACAACTTTCGCACGACACTTTGATGTGAAATCCAAGACCTTCTTTCTTAGTCGAATGAAAATTTACTTTTCCATCACACTTCACACTCTTCACTAGCTTAGCAATTGTTGCAAAGACCTTCGATCAATATTACTAGATAATAGTACTAGATTCCCGATAAGCGCTTCAAAAACGGCCCGAAAAATAAGAGCACAAAAGTGTTTGTGCTCTTATTTCAAATTAGTATGGTCCAATCATAGCCAACAATAGGACGTCAAAATGCCGCAGTGCGCGTTCAAAAACTGTGTAAATAACCACCGTAACACCAAGGTTTTGGAAGGAATATCTTTTTTTCGGTAAGTTAATATTAATAAGTGTTTTTTCATAATATAATAAGTATAAACAGAATTAGACTGTAAATATAATTCAATTAGCGAATGTTTTTTTTTTTTTTTGAGGGTAGTAGCTAAGTAAACATCAATAATTTTAGGCTTTATTTTAAATTATAATTAAAATAGTTTTCACAATAAATTATACACATTTGATGATCTACTTTACAACCTTATAATACCTACTGCCGGTGAAAGTGTTATTTCCATACAATACAAGTTTGTTGTCTGCATATATGGATAATATGGAGTCCCTACTCAAAACCATCGCTGACATGAATGTCATGTTTAATACTCGCATGTCAGAATTCGAGGCAAGAGATAAGCTCCAAAAGGAATCTGGCTCATCCGCATCTCCCACTAATCTTGAAACCGAGTTTGCAACCTTCAAAATGTTTGTCCTCCAAGCTCTCAATAATATCCAACAGCAGGTTCAAATATTGGCTCAGACTGCAGATAATATGGAGACTCGGAGCAGGAGAAAGATGTTATTGATTCATGGTGTACCCGAGGAGAGGAATGAAGACATTACATTGGTCGCTGGTAAAATCTTTGGTGAACAATGTAAGGTGAGTGGTTTCACTCTTCAAAATATAAAAAGATACCAAAGAATGGGGCGGATATCATCATCTGGTAAGTCCAGGCCTATACTTGTCAAGTTTCAGCAAGTCAGTACCAGAGACGCTATTTGGTTCGCTAAAACAAACTTGAAGGGCACTGGGGTAACTGTCTCAGAATTTCTCACGAAATCAAGACATCATGTTTTTATGTCTGCACGTCAAAGATTTGGTATAGCCAAGTGCTGGACCCGGCAGGGTGTTATCAACATTACGGGTCCTGATAATAAAAGGCATCGTATAACGACTCTTGGCGAACTCGACTCTATTAGTGATGAAGTGGTGAAGCCAGCAGCAGCCGCCAAAGCAGCAGTGACTAAGACGAGGCGTGCCGCTAAAAAATAATAGAATCATATTGTTCGTTGTCACTTAATTGTTTGCGATTAAGAGTGCCTATGTATGCAGGCTTCGTTGTTGTTTGTCACATAATAGTCCTGATAACTGCTGAGTACCTTAGCTTCACACTTTATGTTTACTCTACCCACGTCATATACTTGTTGATTACCCTGTTGTAATTAATTTTATGAGACAATTGATAACATCGTAAGTGTACTCGTAAGTCGTATGTCAAACTAATAAGCTGTCACATGTGACAACGGGATTGCGTTCCAGTTCATGTCATTCCTTTTAGTAGATGTGTAACATTCGCATGATCTGGATACCTGCCTTTTAGTACTACACAAATTTTAATTCGTATAAATTTCTATACTAGCATTTTTATCTTTTATCTTTAAATTTTTATTCAGTATGTTTTGGGTCGCAATCCCAAATTAAATTAATTTTGTAGTGCCAGATTATGCAAACTTTTCTTTCACTTATAAATTAATTATTATAATAACATGGAACCGGCAGACGGATTAATTGATTAGAAAAGTCTTAGTAGCACATTTTATACTATTATAACTACTTATTATATTGTTAATATATCTATACCCATATTCAAATTAAACCATATTTCAAATTACATACTGATGACGTCATCGATCACTAATAGTGACACTGATGAATATTTTTCGGTGTCCAGTGATGATGCTAGTTTCACTAGTATTCCTTCGCTCGCAGATACTATCTCGAGTCAATTCTCTGATGTTCCGAGGAACTTCAATGTCGTACCTATAAATGCCCAAAGCATTCCGGCACATTTCTCTGATATGCTGACAGCCTTTGACTGTACGAATATCCACGCAATTCTTGTATCAGAATCGTGGCTCAAACCATGCCTCTCCACGGTAACGTACTCGTTACCAGGCTTTCAGCTGGTAAGGAATGATCGTATTTGTGGACGTGGCGGTGGAGTTGCCATGTATATTCGATCCCACATTCCTTTCTCCATAGTAAATATGTCTTCTCAGCCCACACCCACAAATGCTGGCGAGCATTTATGCATTGAAATCTTACTTCAAAACACAAAACTACTTCTCGGTGTATATTACAGTCCTTCCCTTCGAGTAGATTATTTTTCTTCACTTGAAGTACTGTTGGAAAATCTAACCCCTTCGTACAGTCACACTATAGTCATGGGTGACTTTAACACCTGTTTACTGAAAAACGATTCTCGTTCTGCCACTCTTCGATCTATTATTGAATCTAGTAATCTTTCTATTCTCACACTAAATCCTACACATAATTTGCCAAACCGTAACTCATCTCTCCTAGACCTCATCCTTGTATCCTCTGTGGAGCACGTCGCCAAATATGGCTAGTGCTCTGCGGATTCTTTTTCCTATCACGATCTTCTCTTTCTATCCTACCTCATTCGTACACCTAAACCTAAGCCTAAAATCATTTCACACCGTAATTTTCGTACAATGAATGTCGAAAATCTTTGCAGAGATGCTGATAGCATCGACTGGGGTCCGCTTTTTAACTCTCACTGTGTTAATGAAAAAATTAACCACTTCACAAATAACCTTACTATTTTATATGACAAGCATGCGCCTATACGAAGAATAAAGGTGAAACATCTCCCTGCTCCTTGGCTTACTGAGGATATAAAGGAGGTACAGAGAAGGAAAGCAAGGGCTCAATCTAAATATAAGAAAAACCCTACAGCATCAAACTGGGAAAAATTTGTACTTATTAGAAATCACTGCAATAAGATGTGTAGGAATGCTCAGCCACGGTACTATTATAATACAGTACTCCAACTTCATACAAACGGACGAAACGCGAGCTATACCTACGCGCTTCGATCTCGGGGTGCACTCGGGGCGCAGACAGTCACGGCTGTACCGCAGTGTCGAACGGACTGTGTGTTGTTTTTTTAACAATAACCGCGCGATTTTTCTTTAAAAATCAGTTAATATGACGAGTAGGAAATATTGTGCTGTTTTTGGTTGTATGAATTCGTCAATAACGCATCCAGACATAAGTTTTTTTAAATTACCTGGAAACTCTGAAAGGTAAGACTATAAAATAATTTTACTTACTAGTAGGTAGGTACATAATGTGTGTCTTTTTTATGGATAAGTATTTCCTTTTATCTTACGAAAAAAAAGGTGTTTGGATTAATTAATAAAGCGAATAGAGTAACGGAAAGTTATTGAGACGAGTGAAATAGGTAGTTATATGAGGTTCTGAATGAATCATGATACGGTAGGTAACTACTTACGCTTGTGTTAAAACTTCGGTGCATGTGGGTTTTGTTACTTTGCATAATTCAAAGTAAAGACGTGGTATTTTATTATTAATAATATTTGTTTATTATCTGTGTGTATGAATAATACTAAAAAAAATTTTTTACCGTCTGTGTGTCATTAGCCAGTTTTCGAAATTTTCACAAAGTGTTTCTGCTGCTACTATAAAAACTGGTTTTATTTTCTCGGTATTAACAACAACAGCTAGAGCTAGGTTGTGATTTTAAAACATTCGTAGTCAGCTGTTCAGCTTTTTAATAATTAATTAATTGGTGACCAAAGAATTTTTGTTTTGAGTTGTTGCGAGTTGTAGGTAGGTACCTAATTTATAGAGACGTTAATAAGCTGAGATAAAAAGTTACTTACTCGTCAGCTGTTTCTTGCATTCGAGTTGAGTAGGTAGGTGTTGGAGTTTCTAAGGATTGGAGTTTACGTAACGTAATTTAACGTTAGTTAACGTAATTGGAGTAACGCGTAAGGAGAAAGCACATTTATTTTATTTTATAGAAGGATTTTTTTCGGTCGCAAATTTATAAGCCCGATTTGATTTTCAAACAAAAACATGTTTTTTTAATTAAATCTACCAATCAAAAAACAACACGCATTTTTATTGAACACTTCCTATTCAATATACAAAGTATTTCATTTATTTATATAAAAAGAATATTTACAATCACAAATCTAAATGGAAACAGAAAGTAGGCAAATATAATTAAAATGCTGGAGACGGGCAGCCCTAACGCATGTTTACGTACCGCGCGGCTGTAGGCATTTATTTCTATCATGAGGCCGAGTTACGCTACTGTATTATAATTGTACCGTGGCTCAGCGCCGACATATCCACAAATCTGTTGAAGATGGTGACCCAGTTAAGGTCTGGAAATTTCTAAAGTCATTGGGGATCGGCAAGTCACGTTCTAATTGTGCTTCAAAAGATATTGATATTGATTCCCTGAATTCATACTTTTCAGCTTCATCTAATTATGGAGGAGCTACCAAGACTGCGACACTAAATTATCTTTCTTCTCTGCCGACTCCTAACTGTTCCCCATTCTTTTTCAATCAATTTGCTGCATGTGATGTAAGGAAGAGCATAATGTCAATAACTTCCAATGCCGTAGGAAGCGATAGCATCAGCCGTAATATGGTTCTCCCTATCCTGGATGAAATCCTACCTGTAATGTGCCATATTCTTAATTACTCGATATCTGTAAACGCTTTTCCATCTGCATGGAAAATGGCTCAAATCATTCCTCTCCCCAAGAAAAGCAGGTTATTTCGGGCGGGCATTAGGTCGGGCA